TGTGTGTGTGTGTGTGTGTGTGTGTGTGTGTGTGTGTGTGCAGTAAAGATGGGGCAGCACAATAAGCACTGTGGGTGGTGGTGGGGCATTTCATTGTGCTTCCTCTTGTGGGATATAATTAATTACTCAATCTCTGCACTGTATAATCTAGTTCTGTGCCTTTTGTCTTTGTCGTAATTTCTCCACATTTGGCCTAATTGTTGCCTGCTAGATTCTGCTTTTGTCCAAATTCCTCATTAACTCCGCCTCTTTCCCCCTTCTGCATTTTGCCTCTACTTCAACTTCTCTCCCTGTCTGAGCAAGGACGGCACAGTCTGCTGTAAAGGCTGGAGGTTGATAAATGGCGACGAAAATGGAAGATTGTTTAGACGATTGAATGAAGAATCGGCCAATTTAAGAAAGAGGACATTTGTGATGAGGCTGTAGAATATTTGAAGTCATTGACAGATTTATATTTTTTTTTAACAAAAAATGGTAATTTCAAAGAATTCTTGGACCTTTTTGATGACTGACTAATGACCAACAAAGAAGTCGGTCAGTTTCACAACAGGCTTCATCTGGAAGGATAGTTGTTAATTTTCAAGTCTAACCAAGTGAAGAGAAGGTGAAGTTACTGTATTGCTGTTACTATTGGTGTGTGCTAGGAAGCAGGTATTGTTGGATTAATCTGTGTTGTGGTCTCAGAACCTTGAATTTTTTTTCTTTAACACCAGACAAAGACATGCAGGTGTGAGCTAGTTCATAATAATTTTTATACCCTTAAATAGTCATTAACGGGAAATCTCGGTTTGTTTCTCGTCTCAAGAGGATTTTGAAATTGACTTTAAACTACAAAATGCTTCCCACATCATCCCAGTTGAATCTAACCAACCAGATACTGTAGTTTTTGTGTTCAGACATCCAATCCAGAGACTCCTGCCGTTCCCTTAATTACGATGGGGATGATTGGCATTTAGTTTGTGGAGCTCTAAGGATCAAGAAATAACATTTTGAAAGCTCAATAGCAACATGTCTCTGCAGAACCAATCTGGTTACTGGAGGCCTGCCTGTGAACAGTTTTTATTGACACCATCTTCAGTATGTGATATTTTCATAAAATTACATTATTTTTGTTGTGACATTAGATCGTTGTTAGAAAGCCCAGAGATTCCTCCACTGGTCTTGATGTCTGATCAATTTAGTTCCTGCAGGTTCAAAGGTTTCTGAGCGAACGCCTCTGGGAGTCTCGGGTGTCTGAGTGGAATAGCTGAGTGTGTTACAACACACTAACCCAATTTTTCTTCTGCCGTCACAGGGGAAAGCTATGTTTGTGCATCGGAGAACATCTACAAGAAGGTCGACTACACAAAGAACGTCAACCCCAACTGGTCCGTGAATGTAAAGGCCTCGGCGAGTCAGAAGAACATGCAGGCCTTTGCTGCCAGAGCTGCCGCCGATGCCAGGGAGGGCAAGGACTTTGTTCGACCCAAGCTGGTGACGGTGATGCGCAGCGGCGTGAAACCACGCAAGGCTGTGCGCATCCTGCTCAATAAGAAAACGGCACACTCCTTCGAGCAGGTGCTCACCGACATCACAGAGGCCATTAAACTTGAAAGTGGCGTGGTCAAGAAGATCTACACACTTGATGGGAAGCAGGTATGTCTTAAGCTTTTAGCCATTGCCCGGCTTACAACATGCTTCCAGGTGAAAGGCAGTGGGTCACATGTGCTGCTGCAAACCAAAGTTTGAAAAACGTACCCTCTAAATAACCCTAAAATCCAAATGTACCAAGCCGCCACAAAACACAAAAGCCTTTTTTTTGTTTTTGTTTTTGTTTTTTTTTGTCTGCATTTGAATAATACGCAATAGGGCCCTCTGATCTAGAACATAATGGAACAAAGGTGCTTCAGTATGTAAGCAAAGTTCTCTGCTAGCTGGTAGGAAAATTTGTGGTCGGGGTGAGAACAGTTGATCATTCATATACCCACCCACACCCAGCCAGGTATCGGGATCAAGGGAAAGCAGGACACAAAATGATTTGGTTATGAAAAACAGTTGAATTGCATCTTCAGTGAATTTATTTAGTCATCTACTTTCAAAATGTCCGCCCCTACCTTCGGTCAACAGTGACACGGCAGGTCCATGAGAACCTCGAGCGTCCATGAGAACAACCCGTTTACACAATGACCTTCATTGTCTGCAATCTTTACTCTGACTTTTGTCTGATGCAACATATTCTCCTGTCTTGTGGTTCATGGCATCTGTAACCTGTCCGCCAGCCTTTGTTGTGGAGTTAGTTTTTAGGCCATGAGTCTTTCTGTTCTGTCTTCCACCCACCATGGTCGTGTACAAAGGGCCAAACCCTGTTGTGTTGTGTTTGATCATCCTGCCCCCATTGTTACTCTCTTTGGGATGGTGAATGCTGGTATTTTAGTAAAATGGTGAGAATACGGTTCTAGGAAAACCTTTACTTCAGCATGTGAATAACGAATATCAACCAGGACGCTGAGGATTTTAAACTTACCCTACTCTTCCAGCTTATAACCCTTGCTCTTAACTGAACTCCATACAGCTCAGAATCATTAATCTTTTCTTTCCTTGTGCATATTTCATGCACAAAGAATTCATGTTTGACATATGTCGGGTAGAATATAGCTCTTTTTTTGGTTTGGTTGCTGAGACGCATCCACATTTGGGGCTAAAACATTTTTGGAAGACAATGATCAGCCTGCTGTCATCAGACGGACTTCAAGACAGTAGTTCTATCGGAGATACCGACACATCTTGATTCTTGGCATGAGTTCCCATTGTGAGAGGATGAGGATCATAACGCAGACATTTCTTTTGCTTTAAAAAAAAATGCCAAAGTGTCTTTATCGACCTCGACTATTCTCTGGTGTTCAGTTAACGGATCATTTGGCCATTGTAGCCAAACAGAAATCAGGGCACTCAAATCCCCACGAGAAGAACGGTTTAGTTTCCACTGGCTGACTGTGGGCCGCTAAAACTTGCACTGACTTCAGAACCATATTAAATACACAAACCTATGAGATTAAAGGTAATGCAGTGTCACCTGAATGAAAACAATCTAGAATAAATGCTAGATTTTATCACCAGGAAACATTGCAACCTTATTAACACACTGGCAATAGTTAACATTTAAACTGGGAAAGATGCACATCAGACAGTCATTCATTATTTTATGGGAAATATTGAAACCCACATCCTGTTGCAATATGTGTTTGGTTTATAGCTAACTGAATCCCTGGGTAGCTAGTTGGTATTAGTTTAGCTACCTTATTTGCTTACCTGTTGAATTCAACAGCAGAATATATATTTTTCTACAGATGTCATAACTTTCTGTTTGACTTTCTGACTTCTGTCTGGTTTTAAGGTGTGCTCTCCCAACATAGATGGTATGTAGCACCAGTTAAGCTGCAGCTTGCAGGCAAAAAAATGTTTCCTCGTGTTTTCAGGAGCATATTGTGAGATAATTAAGATAGTTGGCTTGGCAACAGTCACAATTAAACTGTGCTTCATTTCTTGTGTAGGCTAGTACCTCCAATAAAGTTTTACCATGAAGATTAGCAGAGAACGTAATGCGCAATGGGACACGATTTTAATCTCGGCTGAAACAAAAGCACAAAAATGGCGAAAGCTAATCAAATGATCCATATGAAGCACACAAAAAGCTTTAACTTTACCTAAAAGTCACTCCCTGGGGGAAGACTATTGTTTTGTCAACACACTGGCTAAGGTAAAAGGACGTGATGTTTTATTCATAGTTGTTATTGGAGCAGCAGGGTCAGCCACCTAGAAGGCTGTGGAAAGGTCTGTGAGATGGACCAGCTAATATATCACTTATATCAACATGTGTGTTACTTTATAAAGTACTAAATACAATGTGTGTGTGTATATATGTGCGAGCGGTTTAGGTCCAACAAATGGGGCGCAGCATAAAAATTTGTTCGTAAATAATTTTCTGTGCATTAGTGAGTGACCTTTCGACTACAATAACATTCAACCACCATGATAAAAATGTATCTCGCAGGTATTGATCTATCTTATCTCTTGATAATAACTTAACGCACACCTGTTACTCACTGCACAGATCAAATACCTTTGCTTTCCAGACTATTGTGAGTTGCAGTTAATTAACAGGGGCGGGGATGTGGTAAAATGTGTGTCTGTGTGTGGAGACGAACATCTGCTCCTCAGTCCTCTCTTTGATATGGTTAAATGTTCACTAATTCTCCTGTGGGGACCTTTTCCCTGTATTATTCATTACAGATGGACTGGGGATCGAGCTGAGGTCCTTTTTTAGGTGTTGCACTTCTTTGTGTCTTGTCCTCTGTATTACTACGGCTGGAATCACATGTGTCTTGGAGGAGGGGAGGTGCGCTGAAATGATAGATGGGGGAATTTGATTTTTAATGCCCTCTCCTTGGGGTGCAGTCTGGCTGCCCCAGGTCTCCAACTGTTTTTCCTACAGACACACATGCTTAGATGTTCAAATGTTGTAACCAGCTTATGGAATACGACTTTTCTTCTTATATTCCAGTGTTTTTGTCTTTGTGGTTGGGCTGTGGTTAGGATTGGTTCTTCTTGCTGTGCATTTTTCTCCATGCATTTTTAATATGTTCCCACAAAAATGAATGTAACAGCCACCATATGGTAGCTGTTTCAACCACGAGTATATATCGATTAACTTGTCTTCGCTCTAGATAAAGATGAATTATGTCGTGATTGGTGTCCACTCATCTTGGACTCGTGCCAGTTTCGTTGCAATGCAGCGAAATGTGAGAGACGCTGCAGCGCACATTATTGCGGCGTCTTTGTGTGCAGAGGCACACTGCAGCTGCTCTGTTGGTGGAGGTGATATGGTGGAAGCGATATTGATGCAGTGCCCGCCCCTCCCCGACTCTGCGCCGATTCCTCCTCTTCCCATTCCATTGCGATAGCTGCTGGGACCGGTTGCTAGGAGACCACATCCCAGGCACAAAGAGAGCCCAGCTGGTGTGGACCGGTCTGTCAGATACCACATCCTGTAGTGTAGTGTGAGAGTTTACCATCAATGCAGGCCTCACATGGCATGTTGTTGTTCCATCACGGGGTTTGAATTGGAGGCACAGTGGACTCCATCGTGTTTGCATGTGGAGTTGTAAAGGAACAGTTTGTGGCCGAGATGAAAAGGGTGATTTAGGATTTTAGAGCATCTTTTTTAAATGCCTGCTTTTCACTCTTGATCTTCCTCTTCTTCCCTTTTTAGTGCTGTGCAGACTCTAAAGACAGCCTGCCCTCCTCCTCTTTGTCGGCGTTGTGAACAAAATGACTCCCATTTTCCCCTCAAAAGCTGGTGCTTTTCACTTCAATCAGGAAGGGTGGGGCCGATGGATTCAGGAGTCATTTTTCCATTCTCGGTGCAAACTAGTATCATTTTATTTTCACTGATGGGCAATACTAATTCCCTATGCCTAAAAAGAAAAATACTTGTCTTGATTTGCCCTCGCTGCTTCTACAGGCTACATTAAATCAGAGGGTTTATTTAATTGCTGGCAGCCATTTTGTATTCATTCCCTTTTTGATGGAGGTGTCTGCATAAGAGAATAGTTCTGATTTGCATTTAAGATCCTGTGCATGTTCGTCTGAAATGCACTTTGGCCGGGTTTTGCATCTGATAGATGCCAAATGTAATCTGTGAAATATGTTTACGGTTCACTGGGTTGCAGTGCGATTCGGCAGCATTGCAGAAGGCTCATTATTCTGACCCGGCTTAGAAATGTGCTTTGCATTTAAGTCTTTTAAATCGATGTATCAACAAAGAGCCGCACAGGAAAGGAAATGGATGCTTCGGGCACGCTTTAGGCACAAGGTCACACCGTTATTGTCGGAGAACAAAAGATTCCAATTTTCTTTTTAAAAGTTAACAACTGACGGTAAGAAATTATTCACTGAATAGGAAATGTACACTGCGATGGGTTTAGGGGGCTTCTTAATGTCTAAAATAAATCCAGTAATGGGGAAGAAAAGCCTGCTTTCCCTCGGTTATCAGCGCTCTCGCAGTCTGCCTGCTCTTTGCCATGCTGCAGGAGCAGTTGTCATGGCAATAAGCTCTGCTGTGATGGATTCGGTTTGTGACAATGGCTGTAATACGCTGAGTGTGCTCTTTACATCGCGGATTTACCTGCTCGCCCATCAGCACAGCTCACTGCAGTCACATTACACACACACACACACACACACGCGCACACACACGCGCACGCGCGCGAAGCAGACAATCGGGCTGACAGAGGGGCGTGGTCGCCATGATGAAGCATGCCGAGCTGGCTTGGTAGCCTGCATGCGTCCTCTGTGCCTGATTTCCCCCTCCCCCCTTTTTCCTGCACGAGGACCACATCAACAAGTGAGCATGACCTGCGTGGCAGAAAAGGAAGCACAATTTAATAATGCTCAGGCCACATCAGTCAGCCAAATGGAAAAGCCTGCTTCCTCGGGGGTTGTGGAGGGGTGGTGTTAAAACAACAGCATGCACCAGCTGCTCCCCATGACTGTGCAGTTACCGCTGCCTAACGGGCGCATCTGCGCTCCAAATGCATCCGGAGCACCTACAGTAGCACCCAGACACTGTACCAGTGCACCAAGGTCACAGACGGGTCAGGAAGGCAACGATCATCGTTAGAGCGGGACAAATCACTGCTCAAATAGAGGCTGTCTTTATGTTTTTGATCCACTTTTCCCCCCCATAATTATATCCATAAACTGAGCTGTTGCTACAAAAGCAGACAAGCTGTGAAACCGTCTGCTGAAATGGACAAAATGGAGACGCTGCGTGTATTTTGGAGGAATATTCCACTTGGTGCAGAGGCACTGATATTGATCAGGTCTGTGTGCCTACAGTGAAGGAGTTGGTGTGGGAGTTTACCCATGGGTTTGAAAAGCAAGGTCTTACTGGCTCTTTTTCAGCCTTTCTTTTTTATTTCATTTTTCTTTTGCATGTCTCAGTAAAGCTGAGATTTGTATTTTTGTCTTTAGGTGCGTGCTTTGCCCTCAACCTTACACCATCACAGTCCTCTCCTCTGCTAACATAAAGAATACACAGTAGATCAGTGATCCCTTGCAAAGCCACTGTCTGAATCTCAAGATTTGTTTTATTTTCAGCTGACTTGTAAGGAGGCGAAGGGACACACACACCGATCTGAGATGAAGCCTCTCTGGTGTCTGTCAGAGCACAGCAGATCAGTATAATCAGTTTTCAGTGTTTGACTTTACTCGCTGACCGTTTGCTGCCTCTTTAGCGTGGGTGGTACGCCTTTGTGTTCATAATATACGTGCTGATTAGAGTCAAAACGGAGTAATGCAACATCACAAATGGCTTTCCTTCTGCATATAGATCAATTGACATGACTGTGTGGAGTCTGAGGATTCTCCTGGTCCAGTATCTGTTGAATATCTGTTGTTCATTCATCATTGGCTCTGACTGTGCTGCTGAAGTCAAAGACGAGCAGCTGCTTGCACAAGACAAAGGATGCAGGAGCTTTGTTTGAGGATGTTTCCTGCAGCTTCACACACACAAGCTGTTGCAAGGAACTGCGGTTTGATTACTGACCTGAGATATTTCATTTGTTGCGCAGACCAAGTGGTTTAACAGTCTGGCATTGATTTAGGTTCAGTTTGAGTTACATGGGGAATGCTGGCCTTAACAGAATATATACATCTTACCATATATTTGACAGAAAACCGAGGCTCTGCCCTGCCCAGATTATGACTGTTGTTTTATTACACATATTGTCGCCATGGCGTTTCCCATCTATAGTGAAATATTGCCTCTCTGCAAGCAGAGGAGGGCGATATGTTATTCGCTTCACAACGTGCGTTAATGTTTATTGATGCTGGATAAAATTGGTATTTGGTTAATTTATTAGATTGACTTCAGAGTTGATGTGGTCAATGTCACTGTAGCTTGTTACCTCGTGGTTTGATGAATGATTCCTATAAAAGGTGAAACATCTGACGTAAATCCCAAACGTTATCTGTTTCGTAGAACAAATGCTGAATTGGAAAAACTGTCCATTGAGCACCGCAAGGAGAAACTACAGAAACTACAATAACTTGTGGCCCTCTCACTTTCCACCGGGAAGTTAACAATCACAGCGCGCGACTGCTGCGACCTAATGAAATGTCTGGACGGTCAGCCAGAGTCGGGCCAAAGGAACCCTGAATAATTCAGTTGTTGTAGTTGGTGGATCCCTGCATAGCTGTTGGTGGTTTTTAAGGGGTCATGCGGTCCGGACAGCTGGTGAGGCAGAGATTAGGGAAGGGCTTGGTGGGACTGAGGGTGAGGGGCACCTGCATTCTGGAAGGAGCCAGTTTTACAGAAAACCCCACCGGCCTTGCTCTAATAAACAAACAAATGTTTCTTTATATAAGATATACACAGCGACTGATGTGTGGATTGCATGTGCAATATGTAAATCTGCAATATGGCAGGGTTTTTTGAGAACCTGATGGCATCATTTCTTCTCATATTGTCCTTTTCCGCAGAGCAGATGCTTCTTAACCTGTATCCGAATGTCCCCGAGACGGCCTGCCCTTTCCTCACTGCAGCCATGTTTCAAAGGGACGCTGACATTTTACACTTGATCTGATCACATGCAAAGCAGAGCTGTTTTCCCCCCACACAACAGTTCTAGCAACTGTAGGCAGATCTGTCGGGCCAAAATTCGCTGCGACAGTTGACCCATGATGGGCATCCCGTGTGAGAGGAGACTCAAATGCCTGATGATGCGGTTTAGTCAGTCGGTTGTGCACATGCAGGCCAGGTTTTGGTGAGTGTCTGAGGGACATTGGCTACACACTGTACATTCATTATTTGTGAGCTTAATGATTCAAGGAGCACCGGTTAAAGATCTGCACTGTAACTGTACAGATAATGTGGATCTTAAGTGATCATTATAGGGAATAGGATTAGTGGGATTGCTTAGAAGGATTCAATGTTTTTTGATACGGAGTCTTAATGCTTTCTGAAACGCATGTTATCTTAGAGCATGCTATGTTTGCACCCTGGTCACCCTGCTTCTCAATGTTTCTTTGTAAAAGTTCCCTTTGCAAAAATACGAAACACAACATGCAGCATCTTTGTTTTGTGGGATTTCTATTGGATCTCATCTCAGGTGGGGCTGCCAGTCAGAAACCACAAGAGAAGACTAGAGTCCTCATTCCAAATGGAGATTCTGTTAAAGGAGATTAAGGTAGCAGTCTGTTGGATAAACACTTTATCCCTTTAATCAGCTCTGTTCTTAAAGCTATTAAAACATAGACTAGCCTCTCCTCTCCTCCACCCGCTGGCCTTGTGGGGGGGAAAAAAGAGCACTTCCTTTTAATGCTTATGATTCACCGTCGGGTCCACTCCTGCCACAAAACCGTTTAACCTAATGAAAGTAACTTCTATCTAATCTCTTGATAATGAGCACGGAAGAAGACTAACATTTGCAGCCTTTTAAATTTAGGCTTGAAAACCAATTAGATCTTGATCCCTGGAGTCAAAGCACCATCTCTGTACCACTGCAGGGATCTTTCAGGCCTGTATCCAGGGAATCTTGTGGGGCACAGAGAGAGAGAGAGGTACAGCTGTTGGATGCCTCGCCTGCAAGTCACCACCACACACATTTAGCTTGTCTAGCAGGACAGAGAATCAACATGGCAGCTGCTGGGGTGGGGTGTTCCCAATTTATCTGCAGCTCATAGTTTGCATGTGTACCACAAAGGAAACCATGATGCATCCGGACTATCCTGGCGACCGTCCCAACACGGGGTACTATAGTCTCTCTGGTCATGGACTTCATCAGAGAGACCAGCAAGAGAGTCTCGAGTCAGTGAGAGTCATGTGTTTTTAGAAAAAGTAGCCCTGTGAGTAAAGACGGCGAGTCACGTAGTTCAATTCAATTAGTTAATTTGTCTTGATCCAATAATTCCAGCGAGAAATAACAAATGGCGACTGGTGTTGACAGCTGAACTGGAAATGAGGCGGAGATGCTTTGTAATGAATCTCATCTCCACCAGGAAAAAAAAACAAGCAAGGGGAAACGCAGCTTTTTGACTTGAATGGCTGTAGTAGGCGTGCCTGAGCTGGTAACGGGGCCTGTATAATGGAGAGGAGAAGGTGTGGCCCAAAGACATCTGGCCTCTCTGGCCATATTGTGTCAGCAGCTGCTATAGAGTGAAAAAAGACCCTGGGGGAAGGAAGTTGAATCATTTGAACATTACGGCAAAGGTGTAACATTATACTCTCTGTTTGGTCTTTTTTGTGCCTTTTGTGTTTTGTTACATGCAGCTACTGTAGCTAAAGGCATGTTAACATGACAAGTGAACACAGAGGTGGGTTAGCTCTCTAAATCCTTTGACTGGCAGACACTGAAGACTTTACTCAGTGAATTAATCCACATACGGCTGTGTGTTTACAGAGTTCATCGTTTTTTTTTATTATTAATGGAATGTAATCAACATTTTAGTACACATCGTCCATGGGGCTTCTTCTCTACAGCTGTTAGCAATGCTTCATCATGCTGGAAATACCTGTATGGATTACATTTTTAAATTTATCATTCAAATGCACTTTATTAAATTATGAATAATAACAGCATAGGCATGTTAGCATGGTGGTGTTAGCCTTTAGCTCAAAGCACTGCTGTAAGTACACTTAGAGCTACACTAAACGATGATGATGATGCCAGATTATTAAGGGTCTCACGTTTTCTGTCTTCTGGCTTCACAGGTCACCTGCCTTCAAGATTTCTTTGGAGAGGACGATGTCTTCATTGCATGTGGACCAGAGAAATTCCGCTACGCCCAGGACGACTTCTCTCTGGATGTGAACGGTGAGCGTGACGGCATTAGTCTGTATTTTACATCTTAGGCATAGTCGGACATGGCGCTGAACGGTTTACCAGCTTTGTGAAAACCCATGATAAACACACGGTGTGAGCTTTGTAATAACCATGCGGCGATATCGACAAAAAGACGGTAAAACATTAAAAGCTGTGAGAAGGTTCTTGAAATGTTGCACGGCAAATCCAATCATGCATTTGAGCCCCTAAAATGAATTGTGTCAAATGAAAATGTCCACATAGATCAGTGTACCATCAGGGGCTCTTTTGACTTATCATAATGGATTTTTTTTTTTTTTTTTTCTGTAAAAGATGTTCATTCACGTACAAAGCTGTGTGCTTGTTTGAAGTGAGGAGAAAAATGATTTATGTGAGAGGGAGTCCGAGAAGGAGAGGAGTCTGTTATCTGCAGCCAGCAGAAGGGTTAAGAAAAAAAAAAAAGGTAGAGGAGAAGAAGAGACATTAATCTGTCCGGTGACGGGTTTAGGCCAGCTGATCTTTTGGTGCTGATACTGCTGAGAAGTCACTCAGAGAAAATGTAAAAACCAATCCTCTCACAGAGTCTCTCTGCTCCCCTCAGACCTGGAAAAACCTAATTTTAACAACTTCCACCTAATGTCCCCTCCTCGAATCGTTCAGTGTCTTCTAAATGTCTTTTAATCTTAAAAGCGCTGATACAGAGCTGATTTGTCATTATGCTTCCCTTCATCCAGTCTCTTCCCCCCCAGTTCCTTGTCTTGGTAGAGTGGAGATGCCAGTACATTTATAATGATCTAGGTTCTTTCCTTTCAGAATACCCCTCCCAGTCCCCCAATGGAACCAAACCTATATTGTTTCATTTAGTCTATAATAACCTTGGGGCAATACTAGATAAAATGGCTGAGAGTCTGGAGCATCCAGACATCCCTGAGTAGAGGAGAGAGCCGTGTCTGTGGTACATTACATTAGGACACACTGATGATCACTCTGGATGATGATTTTATGGTTAAATCCTGACGTTTTGTGAGGTGACTCTCCCAACAACGATGAAATGATGAATTTCTTTTGATGCGTTTTCAATATATGTTTGAGATATGCAAAAGCCGGAGACATGCATGCCTTCAAATGTATTTTTTTTCCCCTTTCTTCTACTGACGCAGCTTTTAAGCTTGTTTTGGCAGTATTACCTAAATAGATTTAAATCCCTTGTGGTTATTTTTCACCCTCCTTATGTTAAGTTGAAGCCTGTGATGGACGTGCAGACAGAGGAGGACGTGCGTACCTGCAGCTCTTGTTTATGCAGCAACAACGTCAGTTGAAGCTGAGAGGGACCCTGCGCAGGTAGACTCTGGGATATTTAGAGACCACCGAGTAGACGAGACAAGCTGCCAGTCTGAAGCATTGTCAGCGGCTCGGTGGCACACCTTGCAAACAACGGCGCGCGAATGTGCATCTGTATCCGCCGGTGTGTGAAGGTTAGGAGAGAGAAGACAGACGTGGTGCGATCCCCGGAGACGGAGGGAGGACAGAGTATAATTAGCATCAAAAGTGGAAGAGAGCAGGGAGGGGGGAGGAAAGAGAGAGCCTGACAGTACAAACAGGAGGGGGGGGGGGGGATGCAGAGGGAGGAGTAGCCATGTCTGGAGTCTGTCTTCCCTGATTTTATACAGTGACCCAGAATACTCTGTTTATACAAATCATGTAGAAATGTATGCACTCATTGTTGTGTGCATGAATTCATAAGCAACACTCTTGAATAATAGCCAATAAAACTCAGAACTACAAAGATGGCAATCAAACCATTCACAGTGATGGTTGGGAATTGTTCAGTACCATTTCCAGTAAGATATCATCACCAAAATACTTAACTTTAAGTATAATGTCCCGTTTCACAAAGGAAGCAACATTTCTCAAATATTAAATGTTGTCTAAACACAAGCAGTCAAACTTTGACTTTACCTAAATACAACCAATAGAAAAAGCCAGTTTGTTATTATATGCTGTATATCATCGTAAACTATGATGCCATAGTAGATGCCAATACCACTTTTCGTTGATCAGTGCCAACATAGTAGACACATTTTGGTCGGTGTTGAGGTTTGATTTATAATTAAAGTCTACCAAGCTGCTGCTGATTGTCTTGCTTCAGCACGTTCAACAATCAAAATAATCCATTCTTGTTGACACATCTGTGCACAATGTGGCCCTCATTGACCATTTTAAAAGCCTTTGTCTTGACAAGAGACAGTCTGCAGAAAGTGGATTCTTCACGTTTGTTGTATTTTATGCTTCTCCACTTTAGTCCCGCTTATTTTCCGCCTCCTTATCATGCTTGTACACAAAATAATTAATTTACCCATTTCACATTATCAAGTTGGCACCACAGTCAGAACCATGATTTGAAAGGTCTGTTAATACAAATTATAAAAACACTCACCTCTAGTATTATTTAGCCATGTGGTATCTAGGTAGAGCTTAAACTCGGATTTTAGACAGAACTTCACCACCAAACAGGAACACATGCAGTTCACTCTTTTAATTTGGGGAGATGTGATGTTTTCTAACTGTCTTTGCGCTTCTTTCCACAGAATGCAGGGTGATGAAGGGAGCCAAAGTTCAACATGGTTCAATTAAGAGTCCTGGTCCGATCAGGCGCATGAAGTCTCCTGCTGAATCAAGTGAGCCTGTTATTACCTCACCCACACTGCAGTGCTTCCTGGTTTTAAAGTACAGCAGACATTGACCTCATCTTCTTCTTCTACAAAACAAAGACAGCTGTTTGAATATACAACTAGGCCTTTTCTGTTGCTGTAGAAAGAACTCGTACATAAAAATGAGCAGCTCTCTGTGCCTGTTTGCAGACCTCGACCGTTGACCTTACCCTGTTAGGATGGTTAACATGAGGAAGGAGTTCTCCTTTAGGATCAATAGGGTATGAATCCCAATCAAGCTTGCTTCCAATGAGCAAATTGCAGCGATGCTAATGATTTATTTTTTTCGCCTATAATCTTCATTTTGTTGTAGACGACTGGGCAGAGGAGGAGTTAAAATCCTGGTTCCTCTCTCTGTTTTCTGGAGTCGGACTGTTGTTACTGGGGGGGTCCAAACATCAGCTCCTTAATCTCACTACAACACCTCCTGAAACCCTCTAATGCTGGAGCAGTGGAACAATAAAAACCCAGCCTTTTAGTCACTGAGGCTATCTGATTAGATTTAGAATAATGTTGCGCTTGCAGTTTCCTTAAAAAAAAACACATGAATAAAACATGAATAAAACATGAAAAGTAAACAAAGGCAGTGTAAACAGCTTTCAGCTGTTTGTTTGACAATCAGCCATTTTAACATTTGATAATATCCAGGAGGCAGTAGAACATAATAGACACTGGTGCCTGCTCGAGCTTGAATCCTTTATGTGAACGACAGCTTTTAACACCGGAAAGAAGTGCTGTACCTCTTTGTTACAATGCTGTCTGAGTTCATGTAGCTGCACCTTCAGCTGGTTGGTGCCAAGAAATCTGATTGGGTTCAGACATGAGGGGGGGAAAAAAAAGCAGTTTTCTTCCACAGCTTTCACCTAAACTATGAACACTGGAGAAAAGAGAAACTCATGTTTCACATAACTGGTTGAAGTTATGCATGAGCTGGATTTTTAATTTTAAAAACTGCATTAGTTCTCCCACTAGTTATCGCTTTGCACCATGATGGCACACCCACATAGAGGTTTCACGTGTTCTTAAAGTATGAGCAGTGTGACGGTGTCTCTCAAACAGTGTGACAGACACAGCAGGTGAGTTACTACATCCCCTGGAGGATAAATGCAGAGCGTTGATGTTCAGAGTTGGTGGCAGCAGATATTCCACAGTTATTGTTTCTCGCCACTTTACACCATAAGTGGGGGGGTTGGTCGTCTCCAGCACTGCGGGGCTCCTCAGTCCTCCAGCGGTCTTGAATATTTTATTGATTACTGATGGGGCTGACCGGCCTCTAAAACAGCAGATGGTTGGCCAACATGCTGGGGAGGCAGTAAACTGTTGAGCGTTCATCACCTCTGTGATACCTGAGAGGTCAGCAGGGCGAGAATAGGGTCGTGACAGATGAAGCGTCTGTGACTTGCGTTTGTTAACCTGGATTACTACTCATGAGACATGGAAACAAATGATTTATTCTCTTTTCCTTTTTATGGGGTGTGGAAGGTTACTTTTCAGTATGAATGTCATATATTATTTGAATGTGCCGTACCTTCTTACCTGCACTTTCTTCAACCTCTGACATCTAAAAAAAAAACTGTGTGTATTAGGGTGCACTGGGTTTAATGAGTTAAATACATTGAAGGTGTGTTTGTCATGGTCCTGTGATGGAAGCCTTCAATGAAACAAAGTAATCTTCAATTAAACCCTTCCCTTCACTGGAATGAGTTTTCTACAGGGGAAGAATAAGTCTAAATGTAGAAATCTGGAGGCAAAACCTGGACAATGTGGTCAACGTTGCTGTATATAGAGAAAAGGTTACTCTCTCATTGCTGCAGCTGAATGTTTGGTTTCTAAATGAAACAGCTGCACTCTCTGTTCGGTATTAAGTGGGAGAGCTGTTCATGTTTAGATATACAGGTTTTAAGATTCCAAGATAATAGGACTTGTGATTTCAGGTTTGTCCTTTTTAAAGTGTTTAAATGGCTTGTAAAGTCCACATTTGTAAATCTGGCTGAGGTAGTGGCATTAAGTTGGTTAACAATGAAGCGTTCTTTCAACACTCATTGGCTCAAATTTACACCGGCCATCTGGCTCATAGACTTCACAATTCTTTTCATCTCTTCAAAAACAAAAACTCTTTTAAAGCACTTAACACACACAACTACATCCAATCGCTCTGCTCATAGATATAAACACAATGTTCCACACTGAGGGACTCCTAGCAACGTGGCAGGACGCAGAGTGAGTGAATAAAATGCCGTCTAACAAACACGGAGCTCGTCGGCCACCTAGACCTGGACCGCCAGCGTCCCCCGTACGCTGAAGCCAAATGAGGCCACAGTTCAGGAATGACTTTCCTCCAGAGCCAAGAAAAAGAAGTTCAGGCCTCTCTTCATCTACACTACTGTTTACCTCTTCTTTTTTTTTTTTTTTTTTTTCTCCTTCATCCCTCTCCTCTTTGTGGGCTCTCTCAGCCAACGGGACGGGCTCCAGCAGCCAGCTCTCCACCCCCAACAGTCCAGTCCTCGTCAACAAGCAGAAGGTACCCTCTCCTCTCTCCCTCTCCTCAACCCTCTATCTTTGTGTCTATTTCGTTTTTTGCTCTTAACAGTGAATTTACACATGTGATTTTGCAGGATCTCTACTTGCCCTTATCTCTGGATGATGAGGACTCCCTCGGCGAATCGATGTAGACTCCTGCAGCCTGCGTCCTTTTTGGCCTGAAACACAGAAGTTTTTATACCTCTGCTGTTTTCCACTTTTACTCACAGTGCCACCTGTTGTCTAGGAGAACCATTCTTTGTCTCTTTTTAAGGCCTTAGCCTCCAGGGCTATGACACCATTTGCTGCTTGAGAATAACACAAACCCAGTTTTTCTTTTTATTTCTTATTAAATCAGTTTCGACCACGTCGTAACGGTTCAGTTCAGATGTACGTTTCCATGTGCAGGTTAGCTGCTATTTCTCAAAAAGGGGCACACAGTTCACTGACCAGCAGATTACACGGTGTAAAAATTTCACTTTGGTCTCAACCATTTTTGTTAAAGCATGCACTTTTACGTTAATATTTCGGTCACAGAATTCCAAGCAGCAAATGGATATTTTTAGGGGTGTTAGTCAGCGCTGACTCAACTTTTTTTATCACTTGTATTCGTAACGTTCCTCTGTGTCCTCCTGTCCTACAGTCTAAGGTGTGAAAGGTAATGGCTCCTTGTCAGAGGAAATCTGCTAAACCTGATAGTCTTTCTTACCTGCTGTAAATACTGTGTATAGCTATCCATCATAACGCTCTGCTTCCATAACGTCACTACGATGTCCGTCTAACATTTGCTCAACATGATACAGGGTATGGTCAAAGTAAAAGAAGATCCAACAAAACAAAGTCCCACCACAGAGGGTGAGGATGAGTGGGATGCAGCTCCCGACTGAGGATTATCAGAAGCCTCCTCAATTCATGTTCCCACCTGAATATATAAACAAGAGGATTATAAAACCATCTATAAATTGACACTTTTAAACCACAGTGGAGGCCTCAAAATCCTTATGTTGGCAGTAATTGGCATTCATCTTGTCTAATCTGGGACAAGGAAATAACTCTGTAAGAAAAAGCTTCCCACGTAGCCCTCTGTGAAGTCTTTGTGTTGGTGTTTCCATTATTTTCACCCTCTACTTAGACAGTAGGCTATACATGGTATACACCATCTGTGTTTTAGATTTTCACAAACTGCAGTGCATGATATTGATGAATGATTATGAAACTTAAGACGAAGCTGATTTGAAGGATTTAAATGGTGCATAAAAACAACCAAAGGAAAAAAATATTGGGCCCTTTTTAAAAAAACAAAAAAAAAAACAAAGCTCACACATTAAGTATGCCGTCTAAATCATTCCCCTTATGCCAGGTGGTCACGTATAATAGTACAATATGTGAAATTGAAAGATAAATAAATAAAGGTGTCAAAGCCAAAGTATGTTTTAAGTATGATGATGATTTTTAGACCAATAATTATAGAAAAGGGAAAATATGTAACTTTATTAGTTAGTAAATATGCTGGAGGAAGCACACCTGGAGATTTATGCATGTTACTTTTAACGCATCAAAATAACGTTGAGATTAAATCACAAATCCTGCTCATTTGGGGTAATTAGAGTTCTATCAGGGCGCTAAACAGTAGTTGGGTTTCTCCTATTTTGCATGGCTCGGCATAGTTCTCTCATACAGAAAACTTGATGTTTGTCTAAATCTGTGTGGGTTTAAAATTTTTATAAAGTTTTATCAATTTATATCAAGGGTACTTGTCTAGGATTTCTTTCTAGTTGCTCACATGAGCTCTTAACACTCGTACTTCTTCTTTTTTTTTTTCAAGCCTCTGTGTGCAACTTTCTACGGCCATATTTCCTTTTCTGTCGTCACGACTTGCGTCGTGTTTCTTACAAATCCACTGAGAAGAGTTTTCTCAGATCTTTGCAGGGAATCAAGCCTGAGAATCGCTAAATTGGACGACATTGAAGCACAAAGCAGGGAGCTACTTATTTCTCACAGCAACGGACACTTTACGGTCTACTTTCCAGCATTTAAACGCGTGACAATTCATTTTTTTTTATTCAAATAAAACATGCTGCACATGTAGCATCCTTTAAATTCTATGCATTCGGATTCAAGAATAGTTAAAAATATTTTGTTTCTTTTCGGTAGGAACCTTTTATACCCGATAGCCTAATGAGAAATAGACTAAGACAAAAAAATGTCCATTCAGGTAATCGATTGTGAAGATGTGACAGTCTGAAAGTTGTAGGAGTGATCTGGTGCTGAAAGCTACATCTTTCTCCTGCAGGGAGAGCTGTCACGTCACGCCGGCACAATGGCTAATAATATCCGCTAATCCAACAGCAGGGGCACCTCACTTTACAGACCGTTTTGTACAAAACTCCCAATTGTTGTCACACAGTTCTGTATAACCTTACATGCTAACAATGTTTGTTTTTTCCTTGATTTTTCTACAGCTTATTACAGCGCTACAGCATATAAAACGTTGGTTGTCTTGTGTTAACCTGCCTCCACCATGTAAGACTGATGGTGTGAATTCATCGCCTACAGTGGTGCCTTTTTTTTTTTTTTTTTTTTTTTTTTTTTTTTAAGGATTACTGTCTTTTGATAAAAATAAAATAGGACTTCGAAGGCTTGATCTTTGTTAACAGCTGTTTGTAAAACATTTTTAAACGTCGTGAATGATGAGGCCTCCCAACACACTTTGTTTTGTAGAGCTACAGGACAATTTATCGTGGTGTAAATACGCTCCCTTCCTGTTCTCTTTCATATGTATGCCTTTCTGATCGAATGAATGACTTTTTGCTTTTCTTGGAAATTAACAATGTCCTTTTTAGTGGTATTTTGCAATGTCACAGTGGCTTGTTTCAGTGGTTCATTCAGTGTATTAACCGGTATCCTTTTGCAATTAAAACGGTTGTATTTCACCTCTCTGGTCTTGAGTCTTTTTTTTACAATGATGACCACAATGATACATTTACATTTTAGAGTCTGATTGTGTGTCAAATCAATGCAACAATACTTTTCACTGTTTCATCCATCATTCAGAATTTTACAATCAAAGCAATAGTATGTGTTTGTGTGCACATGTGTGCTACGAATCTGTCGGGAGACTTATAAATAGATAAAAGATTGTGGGTTAAAAATAGTATTCATGTGGAGATCAATACGTAACCATCTTTATCACCATGGGAACAGGATCTATGTCTCACATTTCCAATGTTGGCCAAACATGTCAAACGGCTGAACTGTTAACACTGTCTATAAATCAATCGGAACATAATACTGAATGGTAGAAATGTCATGCTCTTTTGTCTATACTGGCAAAGTTCGCAAGAATTGGCAAGCAAATTCAAATCACGACTTTAAAATGTATGTGGGTTTTATCCAGTTTTTATTGATTGAAAAAAGCGACATGGAGCAGTAAAAATATGTATATTAATGGCTGCTCCAGTAAATAGCCGAGAAGTAAAGTATTAGCACAAACATGTGGCAGAATACTTTTACAGCCTCCCAATAATCCATAAAAGTATCTTAAGATGTGGATAAGAGAGTAATGTTCATCTATAATCACATATTTACATATTTGAGTGCAAAGCTGAAGCCCAGATGGTAAGATAAATATGCAACACCTTAATATAGATTTATAACGGCACATTATGGACCATAACTGCTTATTTTTATTGTTGTATTCTGTTCCTCCTCACTGCTACATTATACCACACTGGATCTGACAAGGCTGCTCTGGCGGCCTCTGCTGCAAGTAAGGACACACAGACGCCATTTTTATTACCACCTACTGCATAAGGCAGACGTACATTTACCTTAATGAATGTCCTGCCATCTGCTGGCTATGATGTGTGCATGCTGTAACTTCTCCCTAATGACAACAATTGAGGCTTCACTAAAATAACGTTTTGGTCAGCTTCCTGCCAAAACCTAAAGAAAGAAACCGGAACTAACATGTTATCAGTCACTATCTCAAACTGTAAATGTACAATGAATGGACTGTAAATGTTTAACATAGGTGCTGATGATTGAATGTCTGTCTTTGTTGCCAACCATTGGAGGTCATGCAAGCATAAAGCCTCTCTACACCCACACAGGTGTTTTCAGTTATTGACTCATTATAGGATCAGGTTGCATGTGGCCAAAGCTTTGTTTGGAATTACAACTCTTCATCTACCAATAAGAATGATATGGGTGCAATTTGTCCCGCCCTGACAGGTGAAAGAAAGCTAACAGGACACTCAGGGAGATGTCAATCAATTAGTCTTCACACATCCACACAGTTCTGAGAAGAGCGCTAATCAGCCAGATTAACTGAAAACACCTGTCTGGGTGTTCAGAGGCTGTAAACTCTTAAAACCATCAGCAGCAAAACCTAATTTTTCTGTTACTGCACTTTAACGTTTCCACAGAAGAGAGGCTGCATGACGTAATGGTAAATATGACGGGAAAAGGAACATTTCCAGTGCACAGGCTTTGTAGAACTACATAATGCAGGAATTCATATTAGTAATTCCTGAGCTATTATTTAGTAAACAAAACTCTAATCTCTGATGATCCTGAGGAGCTCAGTTGACATTGTGGACTCTATTTATTTTGTGCCAGAGAATGTACTCTTATTCCAAATATCTTGTGCTTTTACGGCCAACTCTCTTCTCACGCTCTAGATAAGTTTCAGATTTCACATCATGGCCACATTTAGGGTTAAAGTTCACTGCCCTCTGGCTTCGAGAGAAATAGTTTCATGTTCACAAATATTGGCTGCTGGACAGACATGTCTTTGACCTGTCCTGTTCCAATCTCAGTCAAACACTAGCCAGTGTACATCACAAAGGTTTGTCTCTGGGTTGATGATTTAGAAAGATGACAAAGAAATAGTTTAATTATGGTGTGGGACAGATCTCTGCTGGAGTACAAGCAGAAAGCTGTCAGCTGCTGCTTTTCTAACGGCAAAATGAAACGTATAAATCTCTGCTAATAGAGCCAAGGGGCTGTGATGGTCTTGACATCCCACATTAACAAAACATTGGATAGAGTGTACTACATATTGATACAATAATTGTGCAATTTGCGAAGCCATAGCGGTGGAGTTGAAAGTGTACAGTTCGTCCTCAGGGTGACGCTAGAGGAAAGGACACGAGGTTAAAGTCTCTGCGGAAAGTTTTATTTCAGTGTGCTTATCAGTTTATGACATATTTTAAGTATATTTTTGGCCTGAAAGAGAGCTCATGAGAGTGTCCAAACTTGAAAGTTATTAACCTCAAGGGAGCATGAATATATTCAGTAAATGTCATAAAGATCTGCACATTGCATTTTGATGTTTCTAATGTGCACGTAGAATTTCATAAACATTTGGCAAGTAGATGATGAGATATTTTTCTCTGGAACAAATCATTTGGCAGAACAGACCAACTGACCGACATCATCATCATACTCAGACCCCGCTGAGTGGGCCAATAGGTCTAAATGACCAAATATGTACAGTGTTCAGAATCAAATAAATGAGTACACCATTATGAAATGAAATACCACATAAATCAGTTGTGTAAAACTATATCTAAAGCAGTATATTATGAAACAACTAAACATTTCATTTTTAACGGCTTTAAAACAATGTTTTTATTGAATTATGCCATTATTTCACTGGCACTTTCATTTCTTTTGTTTTCGTAATGCTATTTTCTATTTCATAATCTGTTTGTCATCATAACAGTATTGTTGTCGCCAGGTACCACTGACTCAGCTTTCAGCCAATCACATGCTCTCTGCAGGTTTGTGATATTGTGCTATATAAATAAAAAGGGATGTAATTAACATACGCTATATTGAATTGGCCATTCAAATATTGAAAGATGTTTTAAAAAAATATTTAGAATAATGACAATAATGTAAATAATTTGCACAACAAATAGGGGTTTAGCTTGTTTGTGTAATTGGCATGACATTTTCTGTGAATTTATACTTTGCCACAAGGAAGAGACCCATTGACCCTTGACCTAGTGGCACTATCAGACCACACTTCTATAACTACAGTCATGTACAGTGTAATGTGCACTGTGAAAGGCCTTACTGATGGTCTTCTTTTTAAATAGGTTCATGCCAAACACTTCGTGACTAGATATTTTTCTTTCCCTCTCTCAAACAAGCCTTTTCCCATGAACTTGTGATCACGTCTGAAACTTCCCAGTGGTCCTCTCTCACATCACAGTTGATCCAAATGATTAACTTCAATTTCATGATTTTCTTCGGTTTCTTCTTCTTCCTGTCTACTTCGGTCTGGCATGGATTGACCTCATTGCTGTTGGCTCCCCACTAACATTCTTCTTCAGATCTGAGTTTCAAAGCTGGAATTTTCCAGATGAGATTTGTCTGTCTGAAGGAGTCAAAGCACCTCTTGTGCTCCTTAACATTAAAGGTGCAAGATACCAGATAGGGCTTCCATTGTTTTCCTCAGTACTGCACTTTATCTTTACAATAGTAAATAGTTTTTTGCTTCTATATTGTTTAGAATGTAAAATAAAGCTCCAAACTGCAGAGAGCCTGCCAATTTATTTTATTACCACAGTTCACACTAAGTATATCACTCATTAGTTGTTGTTTGCTCAGTTGGACCGACCTGTGGCCAAAACCAGGATTTCCTTATGGGTGAGGCAAAAACAATGCACAGCAAATTAATTAACATCTGCTGTCGTAATATAACAAACACTACAAAGGACAAGTGTTTGCTTGTTTCACCTATGAGTTGTTGGGTGGTGGGAGTGAGAAGGTGTTCAATTTCAGTCTCCTTCCCTCCCTCCTTGCAATCAGCATAACACCTCCTGCTGCAGAGAGGTTCTCGTCAGACCAGTTTTCAGGCTGCGTTTGTGTGCGAATGAACGTGTTTGGGGAAGTCCTCGTAGCCTGAAGCTGATACTGAAGAAACTGGATTTGGTTCTAAGAAAAATCTGTTGTTTCTTGTAACAGAAATGTTGGGTTGATGTGAATACATCGAACAAGGACAAGAGGACGTTGAATGTGTTTGAGCTTATCACTGCAAGGAAAAGACAGCTCACCACAGGTGAGTGTTACCTTTATGTTACTAAGTGCCGATGAGTCTACAAGGGGTGTGTTACACTTCTGTGTCCATTTGATACTTTACGAAGAAGTTTTCTCAGGTACAAGTCAGTACAAACTCCTCTTTAAAATGTGAAATATTTAAACATGGCTGCAGCCAGATTATATCTGTTGTCTTATCTGATTTGATATGTTAGTTTTCTTGCTGGGACAGCGCTGAAAAAGACTAAAAGACTTTAAAACAATGTCCCAAATATCACCATAGAGTGCCGGCACCGAATGGAATGTCACCTGCTGTCACCTTTACACATATTACTATTACCAAACACAGAATATAAGACCAAATACTGTAAACGAATGTTGTCGATGTAATGTTTTACAGACCTTTTGTTACACTTACAATCCACTGAAGAAGAGCAAATAACCAAACAAAAATAACCTGCCTGACCACTTTTGCCAGACTCACAACCTTGTTTACCCGTACACCCAGAGCCACTGAATGATTCATTTTCTCAGTCAAAAACATATGGTGACTATGACGCCTTGAAGGTATCTCACTACTCCTTCCTAATGTCACGTTAAACAATAACGGGTAAGGTAATAAAATCCAATGGTGAATTGAACAAACAGCCTGGGTGTGGCTCTAACAATGTGCATGTGGTGCATAAGTAGGCCTTTTGTGCGTGGGAGGGCGATACGGGCAGGTGAAGCATTTGGAAACTTCTTCATTGTGGTGCAGGAAGGAACACGTTTCAGGCTGCTGTCTGAGCGGCATAGTGGATATTTGCTGTTTCTTCGTCTTCTTGTTTTCCAGATTACATCTAGTATTTTTTTCATATTTACATCCAAGGTATTATCACCTAATTTTAGATTTTGTGCTGTTTCAGTTCCAGACATTTAATTTCTCTCTGCCTGTCAGATCTGGTTAATTAATTATTTTACTACTAATTGGTTTAACTTCTAAAATATATTTATATCGTTTTGGGTCTTCTTGTGAAGACCACGCTTCCTGTCATTTTCTTGCTGCTTCCAGTAAATTAAGTTCAGTATGCTTTAATGTATTACTCTTGGCAAACAAAATGATTATCTTGGCACGTAGTCAGTGTGACGAGACAAAAAGATCAAGAGTTAAAATATCGTAATTCTCCAGAGAATACAGCTGTGTTGTGTGTCATAAATAGCCGTAAGATGTTTTTTTGAGGAAAAATCCAGCCTTAAACGCGTTACTTGTTCTTGTTCTTTACAATACTGCACACAGTTTAGGTCAAAACAGATCAACAAACTGCCAATCACACACACACACTGTGGCAGCCTTTTGTTGCCTGATGTTGATGTGGGAAGGACGTGTACTTATTTTTACTTAATGGATAAAAGAAAGTCGAAATGAAATTTGTGAATTCCTTTTGTCCATCAGACAATTGCAGCACACCAAGCTTACAACAAATGTTAGCTTTAGTGAGATACCTTTTAGAAATGTCGCTTTCCATCTGTGGTCTATTGATTTACCATTTTTATTGAAGATATTTTATTTTTCTAAAATGCTATAAATAACATCTTATATCTGTACTGACAAGAACTGTTTGCTCATCTACTAGTCTCTCTTGAGAGACTCTGAGTCACACAGGAGGCAGCTGTTGATCTGAGAATAATGAAGTAGTAAAGAATTTTTAATGGGTGCACTTAAGCTGGCTTTGCCTAAAGAAATGAGTCAAAAGTTAGAGGGAGATCCTCCCTACAGCTAAGCTCTATATAAAGTCTGACAACGTCTGGTGTCTGTCATCATTCTGCAGCTGTGAAGCTTCATCGTCGGGACCATGTTCTCCTCTGCTGTCCCGTACAAAAACCAGCACTACTCTGAGCTGAAGAGCAACTGTATCAACGACAAGAAGCTATTTGAGGATCCAGAGTTCCCAGCCACAAATACATCGCTGTACTATAAGAAACCACCTCCTGGTTATGTGGAGTGGAAACGTCCAGGGGTGAGTGGCCCAGGTGGTAGTGGTACATCAGGCAATGAAATTATTGCTACAAATGAATATGCTCATATTTTACTGTACCAGAATACTGAATACGTGTGTAACATCCATCTTCACTTTTCGGTTGTAGGAGATAAGCAGTGATCCCCATCTGTTTGTGAAGGGCATCAGCTCCCATGACCTGAACCAGGGAGTTGTGGGAAACTGTTGGTTCGTTGCAGCCTGCTCCTGCCTGGCTTTGAAGCCAAACCTCTGGAAGAAGGTGAGTTCATTTGATTGTAAACATGTGAGCCAAAGGGCTGGCGTCTTTAATGTTGGTGACCAAATTTTAACAAGGCTTGTGTACTGTAGCTCCGAGGAGTAAACTGCAGGTACAGCAGCACTGAGGTAAATAGTTCGGTTAAAATATATGTAACCAGCTGGCAGCTCAGGTCAGCAGTAATTCACCTGCGGCATGATGTCGGTAAAACCAAAACGACTTATACGACACATGTCTTTGCTGGTAGATTATATAATCTAAATCACAATAGTACAGACCTATTATATATATTTTTTAACATAATCTTTATACTTTTACTCTTAAGTCTCCAGAGATGTAGGGTTGGACCGCAGCAGGATTTATTGACTAAATAAAATTCAAAAGTCCAAATGAAACAGAAGGCAGGCAGGAAATGGGGAACTAAAACCTGGAACACCAAGCAGGGTGTAAACGATGAAGGACTGGGACAAAAGATATGTAAAAAGGTGAACTAGGCTAGTAGATAATGACTGATTGTGGAAGTGAGAACAGGTGAGCAGGAGGAGAGGCGACTGCTGGACTAATGGGGGACAGGTGAAACTAATCAGGGCGGGGCAGACGATCAAAACTGGCAGGAAAACACCCAAAGGCAGCTGAAGTGGAAAAAACATAACATCTTGGAGCAGGATGGAGAATGATATTTACACCAACAAAAATAAATAGTTAATGGCAATTATGGAAGAGGAACCAATAGAAGCTCAAATGTCAGCAATGTCACATATTTTGATCCTATCTATTAATAAATTATTTTAAAAGTTTACGAAGAGGGGCGACTTGATTGGTTACTCAGAAATGCCCTGAGCAGGGTGTCCCTGGTTTGAACCTTGGCTGGCTGGACTGATCACTGCATGTTTTTTCTCACGTTTCCTGTTTTGCTTTTATTAAAGTCAAGGACCAAGTGGCACTTACAGTAACTGAGCTGCAAAACACACTGGAAATGACCCATTATTCACACTTGTTGCATTGTGTTTGTGTGTGTGTGATTTTCCAGGTAATTCCTGACCACACGACGCAGGAGTGGGATCAAAAACACCCGGAGAACTATGCTGGAATCTTCCACTTTCAGTTTTGGGTGTTTGGAGAGTGGGTGGATGTGGTGGTGGACGACCAGCTGCCGACAGTCAACGGTGAACTCATCTACTGTCACTCAAAAGACAACAACGAATTCTGGAGTGCTCTGCTGGAGAAGGCCTACGCCAAGTCAGTACACTTAAACCTGCAGGGGCCAGTTGCGTGACCATAGACCTAGTCTTTGTCTTAAACATAACTCAGACCTGGTATAGACACTTCCATGGATATGTTGCATAAACTCATCGACTGTAGCATAAACTTCCCTCTGAGTGACCTGTATAAAACTCTCGCGCTATGCATTATGGGTCAAATTACACTTCACCGACGAGAACAAATGGCAGATGCAACAGCGCCGCCACACAAAGCACAGGAAAATAATAAAAGCTAAAATGCATGAATTCAACTGTCGTTAGAACTGTTTAGGATATTCATAAACGATTTAAGAATAGGGTACAAGAATCCAAAAAAGTTGGATAAACAATAGAAATAGTGAGCTAAAAGTAACGTTAATGGTAGCAGTTGAAATAAAATAGGTTAGTCAGCTAACGTTAGTTAAAAGTAATGGGTTAACAGTCAAAATAGTTAAGTTAATAGTTAAAAGTTTGCTAGCTTAATGCAGGGGTCTTCAACGTTTTTCAGGCCAAGGACCCCCAAACTCATAGAGATGGAGCAGGGACCGCCGACTATATATATATATTGTATAAAATTGTGTTTTATATTAAACTGGGCCTAGTACCGTGTATACCTTGTTATTGTGCATTCAATACTAAGCTATTCAAATAATACACAGGTTCATATATTCATGTTTTTATTTTAAACATGTGCGCCACTGCCATTTATAAACACACCTTGTCAGCTGATACCAATGCCAATATCAACATTGTCTGTCAATTGCATGATAATCATGCATACAAGCTATTCAAATTAATGTTTTTATTTTAAACATAAATGTGGAAATGAAAATGAGTGATGGACTATTAGTGCCACTGCCATGCATAAACATACCTGTTATCGTGCATACAATACTGAACTATTAAAATAATGGACAGATTCATGTTTAGAAAAAAAAAATTGTTTTAAATTGTCTAATCAACCAAAACTTTCGCGGATCCCCTGCAGTACCTCCGTGGACCCCCTAGGGGTCGCGGACCCCCTGTTGAAGACCTCTGGCTTAATGGATAGCGTCAAACAGTTGAAATAGTTAACGGTAGGTCAGTTGGCGTTAGCCAACTAGCTAACGTAAACAAATTGTTGCAATAGCAACAACGCTCTCACTTCAGTCTTAGCCAGGGGGAGAGGTGGGTTACTGTCCTACCTCAAATTAAGTCGGTCTTAATATTTATGCGACAGAAAGGGCAGGTTTAATCAATTAGACTTTTCTAACCTGACAATCTAAGACCACTCTCAGGCCCAAATTAGTCTTAAACACATTTTATGCAACTGGCCCTGATTTTTATATATATATGTATGTATGTATGTATGTATGTATGTATGTATGTATGTATGTATGTATGTATGTATGTATGTATGTGTTTCTGTTACACATCAAACTTCTTACTTAACTTGGATTTACCTTGCACCTTTTGCATCCAGGCTTACTGGCTCCTATGAGGCCTTGGTGGGGGGAAACACCGGAGATGCTGTGGTGGATTTCAGTGGAGCTGTGGCGGAAGCCATCGACCTGGAGAAAGATGCTTACTATAAGGACCAGGAAAAACAAGACCAGCTGTTTGAGGATCTGCTAAAGGCCTACGACCGTGGAGGAATGATAAGCTGTTCAATTACGGTCTGTGCTCCTCCTGCATGTTTGCTTCTTTGTCTCTATACTTCAGAGATGCTGACCAGTTGTCTTTATAATTTCATCAGGCACAGCCTCATGAGATTGAAGCCCGAATGTCAAACGGCCTGGTGAAAGGCCATGCATACTCGGTAACTGCAGTGAAGAAAGTGCGTGTGGGTCACGGACTGCTGGCCTACTTCAGGAATGAAACCATTCCTCTGATCCGCATGAGGAACCCCTGGGGCAAGACTGAGTGGAAAGGAGCCTGGAGTGACAGGTGAGGAGTGCTGTAAGTCCATTTCTTCTAGACTGTTGTAGTTCTAACCAGAGGAAGAGCAGGAAGTGAGGGCTGTGCAAACCATACACTCCTGCTCACAAGGGTCATGTATAATGATTAAGATGGTATTTTGTTGAAAACAAGGACGGTGCGTATAGAGGGCCAGCAGAGAAGTTGATAATGGTCAACCTTCTCTTCTGTTGTGAGATGTCATATTTGAGATCTAATGTACCTTTGTAACTGGACTTGAGGACCAATTCTTTGTGAAAAAGCAAAAGCTGTATTTTATGACTCAAAAGGTGGATCTAAAACATATCTAGTAGTAATTCATAAGTGCATTAATCAGCTTCAATTGCTTTGCTTGCTGTTTGTCAGCTCTGAGGAATGGTCTAAGGTTGGTGATCTGGAGAGGGGCAATCTTGGCATCACAGTAGAGGACGATGGGGAGTTTTGGTGAGCGATTTTTAAGTTCCTTTAATCACAACGGTCAACCTGTTGGGTTTATCTCCTCTTTCAGAGTGTAAGAATACATTTTGTGTTCATTTTTGACAGGATGGAATTCACAGACTGGTGCAAGTTCTTTACAAATGCAGATGTTTGCCGTCTCATCAATACCTCTCTGATCACTGTCCATAAGAATTGGAATGAGGTTATGCACTTCGGGAGCTGGACCAAAAACGCTGAGCCGCTCTTAAACCGCTGCGGTGGCTGCGCGAACCACAAGCTGACATACCTGCAGAACCCGCAGGTACTGCAGGCTCTGAATGGATTCCTCACATCACCTGTGTTCATGCACATGCACACATTTATTATAACTAATATTCAACCGCTTCTTCTTTTGCAGTACTTGTTTGATGTTACAAAGGAGGCCGACGAGGTTCTGATTGCTTTGCAACAGAAAGACATGAAGAGCCACAGAAAATATGGTCAAGGAGAAAATCTAGTCATTGGCTTCAGTATCCTCAAGGTAATACTTCCACCATACTTTATTCATCTATTAATGAATGTTTGATAACTGAGCTATAACTGCTTATGTCATCATAAATCAGGGGTGTATATAACATTGAAAGAGTTTAAGGATTTGTGAGTGATGAGTTTATTACAGAGGAAATGGTGTTCGTGTGGGACGCAGACGTTAGTCAAAGGTCAGTTTATTTAAGGGGGAAAACAGTTTTGTCAGAGTTTGGCTTTGGTTTTGGTCAAAGAATTTGGCATCATTTGACTTTTCTACTCATTTGTTGAGCAAACGGTGAACAGTTATGTGATTGTAATGACAGGCAGACATGACTTTATATGTTTATCGTAACCAAAACAGACCATTTCAACAAGAGCCTAAATCACACATGATTAAACGCAACAAATGCACGTACTTCAGTTGATTGTTTCAATATGAACACCAGAGGGGAACCAAATGCAGTTGGCGACAATTCCTTCTAAACTCCCAGTAAAGTGCAAAGAGTTCAGTCGCCTGTACAGCTGCCATTTTTGAAATCTCATGCATTATGGGCATATTTGGTGGTTGGTCCAGATTTTTAAAAAGGCGATTCCTTCTGCATTACAATATACTGTACGTGAAACCAAAACCTCTACTCGAAATGTAGAATTCTACAATAGAGATAATTATGTCCAGAACTTTTATAGGGACAAATAAACGAATAATAAAGGGAATAATAAACGAAGTGTTGAACTGCAAAGTCAATGCTGTCCTCTCATGCAAATGTAAAATTTGCCAAACTAGATTTGATCCTACTTACTGGGATTAGATTATCACATTCAAATGAGGTAATGTAACCATATGCAGTGAAACTGACATCACATTTCCCGTAATACTTGTTAGAGACCTGGCTAAATTCTCACACACACACACACACTACACGCTCTTATCACTCTGACAGAAGTGCTGCCAAAGGGGCAGTTCTGGACAGCAGTAAATGCTGGTGTCACAAGCAGCATGTGACTAAGAAAGTGAGCTGTGTGCGTATGGCCTGCTGCACTGCTGTGAGCCTGAACCTGAATTTAACCCTGGTCATCTATGGTCATCATACCAGTGATGTATCCTCCTCCTTCATCTGACGGAGTCCAGACACAGTGTCCACATTCTCTGCTTTTTATGTTGTCACCCACAACACTTTGTGTTTCCCTGTTTGAGAAGATTATCAGTGGTTGAAGAAGGACTTTCAGTCTGGTATTTCTTTAATCAGACTGACAGTTATGAACCAGAATACACACTTTTTTAAAAATGTAATAGTGGACATCTGAGGGCAACTTGGTGAAAGCCTGGAGGAGGACTTTGACTATTTTGTCAAACTATGGCTGGCTGTTAACGACTCAAAAAAGAAGAATATGCAGAATAAGCCGTTTTATTTTTTGCCTAATTGACACACCATTTATCTTACCAGTGCAAGAATTATATTACTCTGTCTTAGACTCTAGACTTAGACTCCATAGACTACACACTTTTTTAAATTTATTTTTCTACCACCAGGAGGCAGAAGAATCTGTGTAGGCAGCAAACATTTTATTATCGCTCCTTCAAATACTGTTTAAACCATTTAACCACCAAAAATAAAATGTCTGATCCTCAGTTGTGTCTTAATTTCTTTCCATCTGAGCCAAAAAACGTTCTAAAACCTGAATAAGGTGCTTAAAGCCACAGTGAAGTGTGATTTCTGTTGAAATATCTTATCCAGGTTTCTCAAAACCAGGATAAGATATTAACATGTGCAAACGCCTTTCCTGAATACTGCAAAAACACAATCATAACCAGGATACTTGAGTGCACATGTAGATGAAATGCATGTAACACTCATTGTTAAAATCACATGCCAGACTTTATATCTGATGAGTACAGGAAGTGATCTGTTCAGTGATTTATTATTATTATTATTATTATTATTATTATTATTTTAAATGCTTTTCCTTTTCCAGGTGGAACTGAACAGGAAGTATCGGATGCACGACATCCTGACCCAGCAGTCTGTGGAGACGTCCGCCTACATCAACGCTCGGGCGGTGTTCTTGAGATGCACGCTCCAACAGGGCCGCTACGTCATCATCCCCACCACCTTCAAGCCTTACACGCTGGGGGACTACATGCTCCGAGTTTTCACCGATGTTGACTCAGGCTGCAGGTATGTCTGTGGTGGAGATATGGTGTCGAAACGGCGACGGTGTCTAGTTGTAAATCAGCCGCATGGCTTTGTTTTATGTTGTCAGACAGAAATGGAACATTTCACTAACAATTATCAGGTCTTAAGAGACACTGAGCCTGAACACAGCTGTTCTTTCACTGTTCAATTCAGAGACTAATGGAGGGATTTCATCCAAAGAAAGCACTCAAAAGTGACTGTTTTGGAGAATAGAGACTTTACAATTATGTTCACATTAATCCCTTGCAAATAGCATTCCAATCCCACTGCTTTTCTTGGCCAAGGATTTTGTTTTGCCAGATTTCGTTGCTGACGTTCTTGTTGGCAGACTTTAACACCAAATCATATTGGCTCTAGGGATGCACCGATTTCTGGCCGATACTAACTCAGATAGCTGGATTGGTTATCGGTGTCAATGGCACCGCTCCAGTCATATATATGACTGGATAT